GAGATCGGGTCGCTACCCTCGAGGCTGAAAAGGCACAATTGCTGGCCCAAATTGGATCTGCCTCTGCCTCTGCCGCTGTTCCTCATCACTTGCATGAGCTTTGGGTTCATGCCGAAGCCCAGCGAGACATATACAAGAGCTTGTAGGAGGCGCTTAATGTTTCTAAGGCCGCCTATGAAGGAGCACGGGCAAAGGCACGAGATGCTCGTATCAACTGCGGCTATGACTCTGCGACACCGGAGGCCAGCGAGGATGTTGAAGCCGATGAGGAATTTGAAGATAATGACGGGGAGAGCGGCGGTGATGACGCCGAGTGAAAAGCTGCTGCTGCTTTAGTATATGTTTTTTTTTCGTTTCTTTCTTTGGGCCCGTTTTGGCCGTGTAAGGTGCAGCCGTTGTGTATGTATGAATGAAAAAATTGGTATCGTCCTTGTACATCTTTTGACTTTTCTTCTCCTCCTTGCTTGTTACATCTTTTGTTTTGGCATGGGCCTTTAGGTTTTTATACGGCTAGTCCCTGATTTTTCGATTTATTTGAACAAATTCAAAAGGAAATTTATCGTCTTTCGGCGATGGCCTTTGGCTGGAGGGGTGTTATTTCAAACTAGGGTCGAAATGTTAACCCGTTGCAATTCGAGCGAGGTCGAATTCCTTTTTTGGCGATGGCCTTTGGCCGTAGGGGTGTTATTTCGAACTAAGGTAGAAATGTTCACCCGTTGTGATTCGAGCAAGGTCGAATTCTTCCTTTGGCGATGGCCTTTGGCCGTAGGGGTGTATTTTGAACTAAGGTCGAAGTGTTAACCCGTTGTGATTCGAACGAGGTCGAATTCCTCCTCTGGCAATGGCCTTTGGCTGTAGGGGTGTTATTTCGAACTAAGATCGAAATGTTAACCCGTTGTAATTCGAACGAGGTCGAATTCTTCCTCTGGCGATGCCCTTTGGCCGTAGGGGTGTTATTTCGAACTAAAGTCGAAATGTTAACCCGAAATTTATCGTCTTTCGGCGATGGCCTTTGGCTGGAGGGGTGTTATTTCGAACTAGGGTCGAAATGTTAACCTGTTGCAATTCGAGCGAGGTCGAATTCCTCTTTTGGCGATGGTCTTTGGCCGTAGGGGTGTTATTTCGAACTAAGGTAGAAATGTTAACCCGTTGTGATTCGAGCAAGGTCGAATTCTTCCTTTGGCAATGGCCTTTGGCCGTAGGGGTGTTATTTCGAACTAAGGTCGAAATGTTAACCCGTTGTGATTCGAACGAGGTCAAATTCTTCCTCTGGTGATGGCCTTTGGCTGTGGGGTGTTATTTCGAACTAAGGTCGAAATGTTAACCCGTTGTAATTCAAACGATGTCGAATTCTTCCTCTGGCGAAGGCCTTTGGCCTTAGTGGTGTTGTTTCGAACTAAGGTCGAAATGTTAACCCGTTGTAATTCGAACAAGGTCGAATTCTTCCTCTGGCGATGGCCTTTGGCCGTAGGGGTGTTATTTCGAACTAAGGTCGAAATGTTAACCCATTGTTTCACTATCAAATATTAGAGGATTTCACAGGTCGTCGTATTGTTCGTGCATACGTCGGTATGAATCCTGGCATATTCGGTTTATTGTTACTAGGGAGCATTGGGCATTCTCTGGGGGAGTCCCGGCTTTGCTTAACTTTGCTTGCATTGGAGAGCACGATGTATTTCCCGGGTGAGTCCTAGTTTGCTTAATTTAGCTTGCATTTGAGAATACCTTGATGGGGAGTACGAAATGTTGCTTTATTTCATTCACTGGGAATACTATACATGTCTGTTTCATACATATGTTGGAGAAGTTCCCATGTATCTAGTCTTTTCATTGTTCGGCTTGCAGAAACAATCGGTAGGCGGGGCGATGAATTATACTTTAAACTTTGAGACGTCCCCTTCGTCGCCTCGTTAAAAACCTACCCGAGAAAATCCAATTGGGACAAAATCCAGGCGAGGGAAAAAGAGTACGACTTTGGGGGGCGTTCTTTTTCAAGCGTTGAAGTATTTGAGGTGAGCGACATTCCAATTGCTTCGTGGTAGTTTTCCTTTCGTGGTTTCTAGCTGGAATGCTCCTTTGCTTGCTTGCCCATGCGAGTGCTTGCATTCCTGTTTGAACCAATGAAAGAGGGGATAAACCAAAAAATGAGATTTTCTGTACCTTTACCCGGCGAGTCGGTGGAGGAGGGCGGTGCTATAATATTACTCGCTCCGCCTGATGTTTGAATGGTGGTTTCAGATTTGGCGGTCATATTCAGCTTCGTTGCTAACAGCGTCCAAGCTTCGCGTGGGTTGGGTCCGTTTCCCTTGATGAAGTGTTGAAATTGAGCCCTGGTCCGATCTCATTCGATGTGTACCAATGACAAGGAAAACATGTCATATTTCGTTCATAGATCATCCAATGCGGGGGAGGGAATGTGAAAGCAGGGCTGGATGTGCCCATTCTTTCAGAGGACCGCACAGCAAGCTTCCGTGTCCTCCTCAGGGATGGGAATGCGGGTCAATATATAGGGTAAATGCATTGAACGGGGATGTGGCTACACCAGATAATCGTGATCCTATTTTGAACGTACATGTGTCATGCTAAACCTATCGCTACAGGCAAGATGTGGGTTTTGCATAGGTATTGGTTATAACTTCTACTTTTATGTAGCAGCCTGACCTAGACTAGTATGGTTGTCTCGAAGGTTTATTTACCGTTCTTTCGAGTGGGTGGTGACATTTTCGCCGGTTTTAGATCTGAAGGAAACTACGAAATTTGGCTAAGAAATCCCTACAGATGGCGCCAAATTGTTAGAGCAAAAAGTATAAAACCTTTTTTGTCGAACTAATTACTAATATTATAGAAGGTAAATCTTAGCCAAACATAATTAATCTCAGATCTAAACATACAAAGTGTTAAAATGGTAGAAATTTGACAATAGCGGGTAATATTTCTTTATATAACATTTGTACATCAATCATGAGTGACAAGCTTACATCGATTTGTACATCAATCATGAGTGATAAGCTTACATCTCGGGTAGACTTACATCATAAACATGGAAGCAACGGAAGAGAAGAGAGGAGACTGTTGATCATCAAGAGGTTTTCCTTGTTGTCTCTTTTATGGAAGCTGTTTGGACCTAAAAAATTCCCCCTTTCTCGGGGTTTTCCCCTCCTATAATATACTAAATTTCCCTATCCCATGGTCTTTGACCAGCGTACTTTCTGACGACGGTGCACTTTTTTGTTCGCTTGGTCGTAACATTTTTTGTATGAGGCAAACCTTTCACCGCTTTCACACAGGCGATGGTCATGGTGCTCTTTGCTGCCTCCCTCCGTGGACATGATCGCCACTTGATCGACCTCTTATTACCCCACTTAAGGACGACCATTCTCAGTTAGATGACCCATACAACAACAGGATTAGTTTGGGTCGTGACATTAAATAAATCTTATTTTTTTGATAAATAAATTTTTTTCTTATTATCAATGGCAATCTGTCCAAGTAAAAGGAGATGAACATCTCCCGTCTGCAGCAAGAACTACAACAACTCTAAGCACTAATACAACGACTGACGAACTGAGCTGCTCGAGTTCTACTAGACTTACATGAGTTTTATTATTATAAAACAATAAGGTTTTAATATGATATAGTAAAATGTTAAAATGTGTGATATTTATTTTCTGAGTCAAACGGTAATAGTTGGATGATTTTGTTGTCCTAAAAAAAACAAAAATAAATTTAATAAAATATCTTCATAACAACAACAATATATCCGATATTATTCCACATCGTGGAATCTGGGGAATAGTTGTTGTTGTTGTGTTTTCATAAGTTGGACGACATTCAACAAATTTACATTTACCTACAACGCCAACATCGTTCCAATTTGACTGCAGTAGTACTGGATGATGATTAGTGGAAAAAATCATGTTGATGATGGAGCAAAGACAGATGTCTTTCTGATGCCCGACACGTCAATTAGCATCTAAATGGACCATGAATCTTCTTCTTCTTCTTTTTTATTTCTCATCCGGTATTCGTTATCCACATTAGGGCCCGACTAATCCGGATTCGCGTGGGGAAGTCCCACATTGGGGATAAAGCGCTCCCTAACAAAGACGACTCCATACCCAGGGATTCGAACTTGAGACCTCTAGTTAAGGATGAAGGAGTACTTACCACTCCACCGGACCATGAATCTTCAATTCTACATTCTTAGTTGATTATTAGCAGGGCAGCGCATGAATCAGTATAGCACATTTACTTTTCATTGAATTCTTTAAAAATTATGTTTACTGAATTAATTAATAAAATGGTATATTAGAAAAGGATAAAATTGTCGTATCATGTTCTCTTACATTAAAAGTAAATTAAATTTAAATAATTGTTACCAATAAATCAAAAAAAGGAGGTGATCATAATATCGTAAACCACAAGGAAGGTCAGTGTGATAAAACCAAGAGGGAAGTTCTATAAAATTATCCCTGCTATATATCATATTAATATTCTAGTTGCCAAACCCCTAAAGTTACTTATGTTGAATCTCATTTGTCAAAATAAATTCTGAAACTTAAGGTTTTAAATTGATTCAAACTGGGGCTTAATGTTCCTCGCTGTCCTCTTAATTAGGATTTTCATGAATCCTTGAAGTAATTAAGTACGATGAAAACATTATATAACTGACTCCAACCAATTTGTGATCATGGTGTAGTGATGTTTAATAAGTGATGATGTATTACGGAGCATAATCCTCTTTTAGAAAATAGATGCTACTTAAGAAAATGACAAATTGGATCCAAAACAGTAGATATATAAAGACAAGTAGACAACTAATGATTTTTTTACAGAATTTGCCAAGGTAATGAATTATTTTCTTTTCTAATTAGATACTGCTCTAGTGTGCTATGATATGTTCAAATCTGCTCGTTAAGATTTTCGGCTTTAATATTGCTATAAATAGAGCACCAAAAAAAAACAAAAAAGAACATAATCAAATACCTACTCCAATTCCTTTACCTTTGCTAATTATCCACCACAAAAAGCAAAGCATTTTGATATGGCTTCAAAACCTTTGTCCTTTTTTCTCATTCTCACAATGGTTGGATTTTGTAAGTCCTTACACTCTTGTCTTGAATTTCTGTTTTTTCGAGCTCAGATGTATAACTTGTACATAGGGATAATCTGTTTTTAGCAATTTCGTTTGTTTTTACAGTTCATTCATTTCTTCCTTTTCAATACCTCAAAAATTCCCTCGAAAAAACAAAATTTTGATGAGACAATTATGTCGAGTTGCTTACTTTTAAATCACGGATTATCAAACACTTTTAAGGACAAGATTATGCTACACAAAACCGAACAACATATATTCAACATAACTCTCTAAGGTGAAGTCTTATACATATAATGAATTATTTTTTTTTTTTTTTGTGAACTTTTCAAAAAATTAGCAGGAAGTAGGAAAAACTCAACAGTAATAAGATAATGTCGCTGTAATTCGGGCTTTTGCACGTAGCTCGAATTGTAATATCTTCATCCTGAGACTGTCATTGAGATATATTTTAAGAATTAGTATAATTTTCTGCAGTTTTTTGGCTAAAGGTTGAAGGACGGAATGTTAGCTTTTTGCCTAGCAAGAAAGATGAGGATTGTGGTGAGGTTTGCGGTGTGTCATTCACCCATCTTTGGTTGCAGTTACTGAAATTAACAGGGACAGAAATTAAGAAGAAAATTTGATGTAAAAGTTTGGTTGGTTGCATAATATATTGTAACATGATTCCTTGTTTTCCGATCCATTTCATGTAACTTAGTAGAAGGCATTAATCTATTATACAAAAAACATACTGGTCCTACTTTTAAACTTATGTAACTTGTACGAATTCGAGTTGTGGTTTTACGACTGCAATTCCCTTTGCTTTTCTTTATTTATTTCTTTCGGGTTCCCATTTTGAGGTGTTTGCATGGTATTGGACTAATCCTGTACGATCATATCTTACGGTCAAATGGAATGGTCCTAATGAAATCTTAAAATTGAAGTATTTCTAAGACATTATTTTAATGATTAGTTACTTCCAATTATTTTTTTGAACGGTTAATACTTTTTAAGATTGTCGCACAAATACATCCCCTTAATACATTCATTTTTTATAATGACATGTTTGAAGTACGGAAATTACCATTAGTCAGTTTTTGAATTTAGTTTAATCGGAGCCAATAGAACAGGGGTAGAGCCAGGAGCCAGTTGACATACAACTCTCAAGGAAAGAGTGAGTTTCGTCAGTGAAACAAATTTTGAATATTCAGCAACTATTACACCAGTTAAGCTCGTTTTCCTTCTTATTAATGAAGCGCCCTATTAACTACAAGCTTTTAAGTACATAAGAGAATTACTATCAGAATTAAGAGAAAAGAGTTTTTAATTTTAAATAAACATAAAACAAGTAGAAGAATGAGAGAAGATGAACAAAATCTATTATGTGGAGAAAGTAACCACAAGAACACTTCTGCATCAACCAACAAAATTGAGCCCCCAGACATATATACTTCTCTACTTGAGAAGGATGGAAAAAGTATAAAATTATTTGTCCTAAGAAGGAACTAAGAAAACAAAAATGCAAAGGAGGAAAAGGGAGAGCCACCATATACCAATTCTATACAAGAAGAAAAACTTAAAAGGGATAAATAGGAAGGTGCACTTTGCCACCAATTTTTAACCATATATATTCTACAACCCCTATCTTCCTTTTGTATTACTTCTTTGTGAAAACAATGGTGATTGATCAAAACACCATTTGCCTTTCATCTGAGAGCATTCACAAAAGCTAGCAAGGAGTCTACATCCCTCTTCTCTGTAGGGTACTTAATGGCCTTTGAAGAGTGCTTTGGAAATAAGAGTATTGTAGGGAAGCTGCCAAGCTGCAATTCTTGCTGTGCAAATGCTTTCTGCTCACCATCTGCCCTGAATTTCCCCACCTTCACACCTGAACCAGCCAACTTCTCAGCCAATTCAACATAAGATCCTTCCATTGCCTGGCAAAATTGGCACCAAGGTGCATAAAGAACAACGAGCCAAGGCTCTCTTCGGTCTTCCAATTTTAATAGGTTCTCAACACCAGGCCTACTCAACGTAACTATATCCTTGGTATCAAAAATATCAGCAACAGTAGCAGTACCATTTGTTTGGACAGTACCATTCACACTTTCATCCTTGATGTTGCCCTTGTGCAATCCACACTCCTTCGCCTTGGCATCTTCCCACCACCATCTTCCCTCTCTCTCGTGTTGCCCTGGTAGGACCGGCCTTGTGCAAGGTTCGCATCCAATGGAGACATAACCTTGTGAATGTAATGAGTTAACCGGCACATTCATTGCACGAAGGAAGTTCCAAATATCTTTTCCGTCCACATTAGCCACAGGGTTCCACTTCACCAAGCTACCAGCACCGCCATCCAACCCTTCAAAAGAAGGGTCCACCTGAACAACAGGAATTTCTGATCGAGTTCCAGGGGATTGATCTTTACGTTGCCCTGTGATCCAGGCACGTAAGCCCTTGAGGGCTCTCCTCAGGGGCCTAACCTTCCGTACACGGCAGCACTCTTGGTGGCCGTCTTCATAGAAAGAGAAAAGCCCTTTGGTCCTAACTAAGGCCTGAACCTCAACAGCATCAGGGAACATGTACTCAATGCGAATGCCATAATGCTTTTCCACACTATCAAATAATTGGTAGGTCTCCGGATTCAACCTCCCAGTATCAAGGCTGAAAACTCTGAATGGTCGACCAGTTAAATGTGCATACTCAATCAAAGCTACATCTTCAGCACCACTGTAAAATAAGAAAATCATCAAAGAGCTGCATTAGGGAGAGAATCACTTTGGAATGTCATCATTCTGCTACAAAATAAAAGAGAACAATGGAGCCAACTCCCAAATGAACTTTTGGACAAGTAAAATAGCTCACATATCAGGATAAAGGGCATAATAGTATAATGCTAAAACGGACAACAAATAAAAGAGAGCAATGGAGCCAGCTCAGATGAACTTTTTCACCACAGCATCCATAGCATTCAAACAAAACATAGACTGTTCAGCGACAGAGATACAGTTAGCAAATTTGGAAAAGCAAAATGATTTTCCAATGGCATCGATCAATGAGCAATTTATGCAAATCTCCATAACAACGTTCATAATGATAAACTCATGATATAAATATGACTTTCATTCTCAGGCAATTCCATGTACCATGAAAAAAGAACTTTCCATTTGCTTCAAATACTAAAGTTCATCAGTATTCTTGTTTGCAACCATTCAAACAATAGAAATAAGCATCATAACTATAGCTTTGATGCTTTAGATGACTAGATTCTTCTTTGTCCCCAAATCATAAACCTTCTCATTTTGTTATTTTCCATTTCAGTCCTAAACACTTCCACTCCCCCAGTTAGAAGAAAGCCACTATATGTATTTCAATATTTATTGCACATTAAAGTGGATTTTCATATTTCATCAAAGAAAACATCATCCATATAATACAACCTGAATAATTATGAGTAAAAATTCGCTTATATTGAAGCTAGATTTAAAATTTTAAAAAATAAGTACCTGAAAGCAATAGCAATGTCATCCCCAAATTTCTCAAGGGCCTTGTCCATAATCTCAAGAGGGGAAGCATATTGAAGCTCCTTAGCCAATTTCTCAAAGTCCTCTTCCTCAGTTTTCTCTGCTACTTCTGCAAAAAATAAAACAAAATCCAACAGTTATTTTCCTTCTTTATCATCAAACCATCCACATGCAAAGACAGGAACTTAAAAATTTTAATGTACCAGGAGCCACGATGGTTGCTGCAGAGGGAACTATGCAATCATTCCTCTTAGGCTCAGCGTTCAATGGCTTCGCAGCCGAACGCCTCCGACTATTCAAAGCCGTTGACAGCATTTGAGGCCTATCCAATGGCTGAAAGGTACCCAATTGGGACACTGCATACACACAATAACAAATTAATTAAATAATAGATAAAACAGATAATCAAACAACCCGAAATTCAAATCAGATTCTGAAATTTCTCCAATCAAACTCAGGATAAGTATTGAAACTCTTAAATGAAAAATCAACAGATACATTTGGGTTGTTAAATAAGAAGACAAGGAACAAAACAACCCAAAATTCCGAAACAAAGAAAATGGAGCCCAGATGCTAAAATTGTCTAAATATATCAAACAAATCTAGGATAAAAATTGAAACTTTAAAAGGGACAAGTAATGGGAACCTTTGGATTGTTCATAAGAAGAAAAAAGAGCCATGAAATAACAGAGAAAAAAACAACTACAGAAAACTGATACAAGCACACAAGAAAATTCAAAATCAGGTGCTAAAAAGCTTGAAATTATTACATTTTAGGATAAAGATTGAATCTTTGAAAGGTAAAAAAGTAAAGGGTTACCTTTGGGATGTTCATAGGAAGAAGAAGAAGAGGACAAAGAGCCATGAATTGCAGATGAAGAAGTGAAAGCCAAAGCCATATTTTCACACACAAAGAAAGATTTGTTTCAGCAAAGAAACTCTAAAAATTCTTTGTGAGATGTGGGGAGAAATGGCGATGGGAAGAAGAGAGTGTGTGGGTTGAAGAGAGAGGAAAACATGGTGGGAAGTATAAAAGGAGACCTGAAGACAGGGCGGCCTTCTAGGTTCATTGAACCTGGACGTGATTTAGGATTTGAACGTGAGTCTTACGTGGCAAAATATGATTGGATAATGCGTCAATTTGGGTTTCATCAGCGCTTTGGTCATGTGGCGGGCCGGGTAGAGGAAGAGAGATGAAAGACACAAAGGAAAGGAAGAATCGTGGTGGAGAGAGAATACTCATTTCTCACCAGTCAAAAGTTTCTTTAGATTCTGGTTTGGATTATTTGAATATTTTTTCTCTTTTTTTTTTTTAATTTTATTTTGGCAAATTTAGATTTGTGGCTTCCAGTTGTATATTTGGAAAAGATTTGAGGCTAATCTCCTTGATGTATAAGAAAATATTTTAAATATAAATTCGGATTATGGGTGGTACATACACTAACTTGTTTCACAAAAATACTTAAATTTTGTAACTACAATATACCATCTTTCATATAAATAAATTTTAACAACTGAATTTTTATATTGCAGTATTTTCTTTGTCAAACTAATTTTTAAAAAATAAATCGGCTTTAATAAATTTTTTTTTACATTATAGCATCAAATTCAGTACTTACAGTTGATTGCCAATTTTTTTGAATGTTAATGAAATTTAACTCAAATTAAATGATCAAACTAAATTTAACTCTTATAAATAACAGGAGATTGTTAATTTGACTCTAACTACAAGAAGTATGAATTATGTCCAACTTGTTCATAACCAATAAGCGTGATATCCACACGAATGTTGTCCTCTTTTTCTCTCCACAAGTATAGAGTATATACAATTTATCTGTCACATCTGCCTTTTATGGATGGCTGCTAACTACTTTTTTTCTCACCTTATGTTTAGATGCTTGGAAAAATGCTGAGTATCTAAAAGATTCTAATCCTCAAAGCCTAGGGAAAAAAAAAGCAGGAAAGGGTCAAATATATCTAAACAATTATATTTTGAGTCCAAATATAACGATCGTTATACTATTGGTTCAAATATATACTTTTTCCGTTAAGTTTATTCAAAGTAGACATCCAATTTTACGTGGCACTGACGTTTGATGAAATGGATGCCACATGACTTGTCACCTCAGCGCTCCTAACGCATTTTACCCCTCCTTTCTATTTTTTTCCTACCACTAAAATTTCCTTCCCCTCCACCACTATTGTCATCATTACCGCTACCACGAAAAATGTTGTATTTAAAATTTTAGTCTTTTATATAAGGATTAGTGGCACTGAGGTGGCATGACATGTGGTATCCATCTCATCAAATATCAGTGCCGCGTAGGAATGGATGTCCACCTTGAATAAACTTAACAGAAGAGGATATATTTAAACTAATAGTATTACGACAGAGGTGTATTTGGACCCAAAGTATAACAAAATGATATAATTAAACTTATTCTCATAGTATATAGATATATTTGGCATTTTGCCGAAAAGAAAAACGATCTGTCACTTCTCGAGCTCATGGATCAGATAAGTAAAGAGAATTTTGTGGCAGAAGTCATATGATAGAGTTTGTCAATTGATTTCGTAGCAACCACATTTATAGCATGTTTGGCCAAGCTGGAAAAATCAGCTTATTTTAAGAAGTGTTTTTCGAAAAAGTACTTTTGAGATGAATATAAAAACATTCAGAAAGGTACTTCCCTTTTGGGCCGGTTGTGCCCGCCTGTAATTGTACAGGCTCCCATAGCAATAACATATTTTGGTTCAGACATTTGCTCATATAATCTCACTAAAGAGGGGGCCATTTTCATTGTTACTGTTCCGGTTGTTAAAATTAGATCCGCTTGTCTAGGACTGGATCTTGGTACTAGTCCATAACGATCAAAGTCGAAGCGTGAGCCTATTAGTGAAGCAAATTCAATGAAGCAACAACTGGTACCATAGAGAAGCGGCCATAAACTAGAGAGTCTTGACACCCGAATATTGAATCCACTTTTTTTATTCTTTCTCTTCCTCAAAAGTCACCATATATTAGAAAGTTATCCTAAAAATAAAAAAAAAATATTTATACATTAGGAGAGTTCAATAATATAATATCTAATTCTAGGTATTAGGTTTAAAATAAGTAAGGTTATTTTGATATATACCATATTTTGCTAAGGGTATTTTTTGTAAGAAGAAAAGTCAAAACTGCTTGTGCTTTTGGAAGCTATTTTTTTCTGCTTCTGTTAAACTGCTTCTGCTTTTTCCCAAAAGCACTTTTCCCCCCAAAAAGTTTAGCCAAACACCTCAAATTAAGAAAAAAGTACTCCCTCCGGTTCATAATAAGTGTCCAATTTGCTTTTAGCACGCTCATTAAGAAAATACTAAATCCTATACAAAAATACCTAGTATGACTAAACTACCCCTAATTAAACATTTAATGTGAGAAGTAAGAAAACTTTTTAGGGATTTGTATATAGGGGTTATTTTGTAAAAACAAATTGAATTCTTTCTTGATTACATAACTGGACACTTATTTTGAACCAAAATAAAAAAGTAAATTGGACACTTATTGTGAACCGGAGAGAGTACTTTTTTAGAAGAAAAAAATACTTTTGAGGTGGGGAGAAGCTTGGCCAAACATGCTGTTAGACGCAAATGTGCTTACCTATGCTTCTTTGGCAAACTTTAGGATTTAAATCAGTTTTTAAATAATACGTAGTGGTAAAATAACAAATATTTATTGCTCAATGGCATGTGATTATAAATTATGAGTAATGAAACTGAATTTCTTTTTCGGGAATGGTTCATCCATGATTAGTGAAGACAACATATCCTTATTTGTGAAGTAACAAATATAAGTGATTTTGAGGTGGAGATGTTAGATTTTAATGAGTGTGAGTTTAGGGAGTGGACATACTCACAACTCTGTTTAATTGGCACATGAAAGCATGTGTTTACTGATTATCAGCACACATATTGGTATAAAACCTTAAATCCAACTCTACTATATAATGGTGTTTACCCCAAAATTTGTACGCCGTTTTAAAGTTACGTGGTTTGATTTAACACAAATAATTAAGAATATTAGATAAACGAATTAAAGATAAAATAAGCGATCAAATCAGTTGTGATGTTATGGCCAAGCCTGAACTTGGATTGAACAACGACCGCATCCTCGATGGACCGCCGATTCAAGCCCGGTCGTAAATGAAGAACAGGAAAAGTGAATAAGAACTTTAACAGTAGCTAAAAGGAAGGAGATAAACTTGTATTTCTTTGATTCGCGTGTCAAGGTGTGTGTTACAAAAGAAAAACTTCTCATTTATATAGTAGGAGAGTTTTACCCCTAGTGTAAGTCTAAAAAGGTAAAAATCTTCCTTTCTCGTTAATTATCGATCCATAGCCGACATCGAGCGAAATTCACGCCGTGATATCCGGTTGGGTGCGATATCACGACCCTCTATCCGTCGTGTGTAACCATTCACCTATTTCCCCAGGTCTTAGAACTCATTCTTGGCCTGGGGCGCGTCGCTTTACCATACGCGATGACAAGCACATCGTTCACTCTTACTGGATCTCGACATGAAGGGTCTCTAACCTCGATTACAATCTTGTACATCCGTGCCCTTCTTCCGTTTTTTTACCGGGAAATCAGGATAGACATTACCCCGATTTTACCCGTACAAAAATGGTCTGTCACTAGACTGTACTAGTTCTTTTTTGGTATGAATACTATAATATCATCCTAGTCCTTTGTGTTATAGGGTTTGCTACTACTTTTTTTAGGTCTAGATGGTAAACGACAACATTATATTCCTATATATTGTTCCACAGAAACAATCCTATTAATATCAACGTCAGGTATCAGAATAAAAAATAATAATGGGAAAAAGATACGTCTGGCTATGGAGTGCCCACTAATAAAAGTGTAATTCATAGAATATGAAAATTCTGCTGCCCCTTTGAATTTCAGAAGGGTTACAAGCACTTTTATTTTGGCCTCCACCATATATAAATTCTGGAAATCAAAGATAGGAGGGGACCCTTGCTATTTGACGCACACAGTGAATAGCTAGAGAAGAATTAAGATTTAAGAATAAGATTGTTCAGCACTCACCTTTAACCCTAATATATAGTAGCTTAAAATCAAAAGCGAAATGAAAAATGTAACAAAAGAAACAAAAAACAGTAAGGCCACACCCCACCCCACAATATAACATGAAAATAATGGAGAGACCTACAACTTCCCATGTTGAAAAAAGAAACAATCATAAGTCAAAATTAATACTAGTAGGGGGGGGGGGGGGGGACTGTTCGCGTAAGCTCTCTTGCTGTTATCAACAGGCAACTTTTGAACTCTTCATCAATTTTGAAGTTCATATATTGTATGATCAAAAAAGCAGAGCCTTCCATCATTTGAGAACTTTAATCAAGTAAAATCAACTATATCAACTTAAGGTGTTGATCACCTCTTATCTTTTAGAATGATTGAGTTTCATTAATGTTGGAAAAAGTTAGCCCATTAATTTGTCATTTCCCTAGATCCTCCCTATAATTTATAAATGCACCATTATGGGTGTAAAAAAATTAATTTTTTCCTAATTTTTCTAATATTATTCCTAACTCAAGTCGTGGTTGCTGCAGATGCGCTTCTGCAAGGAGAAACTAGTAAGTCTCCTAATCTATTATTTTTCAATTCAATGAAATACTTCAATTACTATCATTGTTCGTTTAGTTTATTTTAATTGCTTATCCAATAATACAGGGTTTCTCATAGATTTTGATTGTGTTTGTAATTGCTTTAGTGTAACTTGCTTTTAAGTAATGTATCGGCTAATAATTTTTCTATAAGGGTAAATGAAAAAAAAATGACATTCGTCTTTGATATAGATATCAAGTAGACAAGTAGAATTGATTGATCAACATACTTGATTTTACGTTTGCACGTTGTACTATGGTTTAGTTCCTCCTCCGATTTCTAGTTATGTATCAAAAGTTCTACTACTAAGGATGTAGAGTGAGAAACTCAAACTTCTCACTAAAAAAA